CAGGCTCTGGCAGCCCCGGCGGGAGGCCGCGGAGGCGGTCCCCGCGGTTGCGGCGTTGGGGGCCCAGGAGCGGCCGCGGGCCGTGCTGCTGGTGGGGCCGCGGCGGGTCCTGGTGCTGGACGAGGCGGGCGGGCTGGCGGCGTTCGAGGTGGCTCAGGGGCGCTGGACGCCGGTGCTGCAGCCCGCTGCCAGCGGGCCCCGCGCCATGCTGGCGGCCGCCCCGCTGCACGGATGGGACGAGACGCTCTGCGCCGTGGCCGGCGGCGACGGGCGCCTCCTCCTGTTCGCCTTGAGCCGCCCCGGGGCCGCCGCCAAGCTCACGCTGTTCGAGGGGGCCGTGCACGGGCTGAGCTGGGCCCCCCGTCCTGGGCTGCCCCCCGACACCGCTGCTGCTCTTCTGGCCTCCGGTCCCGAAGGGGAGATGCTCTGGCTGGACGTCACCCACCGCCCCGGGCAGGCACCCTGGGTGCAGCTCATGGGTCGGTACCTGTTGCCCCCCTGCAAGCAGCGCTGGCACACCTGTGCCACCTTCTTGCCCCAGGAAAGGCTCCTGGTCTGTGGGGACCGCCGGGGCTCCCTCCTCCTCTTCCCTTGCAGCGGCTCCTCGGGGTGGGCTGCAGAAGGCACCAGCATTGTCAATGGCAGCACTGACCCCGTTGTTGAGGACTCCAGCAATGAGCTGGAACCCTCTTGCTTGTTGCACAAAGGGGCTCTTCCTCTTGAGTCCCCACTGTCAGTGCTCTTTGGACTCCATGGGAAGACAGGAGTTACCTCGGTGACCACCCACAGTGGGTATATTTACAGCACTGGCCGGGATGGTGTCTACCGCCAGCTCCGCCTGCGGGACCAGCAGCTGGAGGTCCTGCAGAAGCACAGGCCCTGCAAAGGGCTGCAATGGATTGAGGAGCTGCGCTTCACATCGGATGGGGACCTGCTTGTGCTGGGCTTTCACGCTGACAACTTCGTGGTGTGGAGCAGCAGGACCGGCGCGAACATCCACTGCATCCCCTGTGGGGGCGGGCACCGCTCCTGGAGCTACTGCAGCAGCCCTTTGGCCGAGGTGTTTGCCTTCATCAAGTCTGGGGATGTGATGCTGTACCACCATGAGGCCGAGCCCTGCGAGCAGCAAGTGCTGCTGGCATCCCTGCACGGCCGGGAGATCACCTGCGTGCGGCGCCTGGGGGCCCTGGAGGTGCCCGGCCACGCCACCGTTAATGTGTTTGTCACCGGCAGTGAGGACACCACAGCCTGTGTCCTGGTGCTCAGTGAGAGCTCTCGGGCAGCTGTGCCCCTTGCCCGCCTCAGTGACCACATTTCCAGTGTGAGGACGTTGGCATTCGCCATGGGACCTGGAGATGAGGGCTTTGGTGATGAGGGCTTGTCTGCCCTGCTCTTCTCTGCAGGCGGCCGCGCACAGATTGAGTGCTACCGGCTGCTGTGCACTGGGGACACGGCGGCTCAGAGTGCTGTGGCCTGCCAGGTCATCCACGTGGCCTCCCACCGGCTGGACAAGCACTGGGAGAAGAAGAAGAACAGGCACAAGCTTGTCAAGATGGACCCAGAGACAAGGTGATGATCGGAAACTGCCCAAGGCAGGATTAGTAGTGATCAGTGTGGGAGGCTGGTGGGAACTGCAGGGGCCTCCACTGGAATACCTGCTCTGTGCAGCTGCAGGTTCAGCTGAGGCCAGCGTGGCTTCACGTGTGATTCCTGGTGTACAGTGCCCTGTGGGCCTCAAGAGGCTTTTGGTGTTAGGGAAGGGCTCAGGGCTGCTCTCCTGGGCCACTCACCTCCATGGGGCCACAGAGGTGTTGGTGAATGTTGTGTCTTTGCTGCAGGTACATGTCCCTGTCAGTTGTGCCTGGGACGAGCACCAAGCAGCTGCCAACACCCTGGAAATTCCTGGCTGCTGCCTGCAGTGATGGATCAGTCCGGTGAGGAGCCATCATGGGGAGAACAAAGCTGGTGATAGCAGCAGAGCAGGCTCAGAACAGGAGGCTGCTGCCATGGGATGTGGCCTGCTCTGAGCTGGCCACGAGACAGCGCATGGTGGGAAATGGGGCAGTGGAGCCAGAAGCTCCTACTCTCCCACAGCCAGCTGCCCTCTGCTCCATTACAGGATCTTTGGGCTGCTGGAGGCTGCACGGAAGTTGGTGCTGGTGGCAGAGTCATTTCACCACCAGCGCTGTGTGCTGAAGGTGGAAGCGTTCCTGCACACGTGGGCAGGAGGGGAGAGGTGAGCCCCGAATGCTGGGCTGCAATCGATGGGCTCTGGGGAGAAATGTCTGTCCTTGCAGGGATGGCAGCTCAGCAGGCAGAGGGAAGGGAGAAGTTAAGCCCTGGGGGGTGTTCTGCCACTTCCATGAATCTCAGTGGGGACCCCCAGGGCTGCAGCCAGAAACTCCCTGTACACCCCCCATTCTAGGAGGCACCTCCTGTGCAGCGCAGCCACTGATGGCAGCATTGCCTTCTGGGACATCACTGGCCCCATCATGGATGCAGCAGATGCCCTGCACCAAGCAGAGGAAGAGATGCAGCCCCTGGGTGAGTGCTGCTGCCCAGCAGCTCTTGTGCTCCCTCTGACCAAGGTGAGCGTTGCTCTCCTGACCCAGCCTGTTTACCCAGCCCTGGACGCCCCCCTGGTCACCATCATGGCCCACAGCTGCGGAGTGAACAGCCTGCACATCCGCGGGACACCCGAGGGACGGTACCTGGTGGCCAGTGGCAGTGATGATGGCTCCATCCATGTCTGCCTGCTGGAGGTAGCCCTGGGCAGGGGTGAGGCCACGGCAGGGACCTGCCTGCAGCTCCTGGAGCGGGTGTCCAGGCCCTGTGCCCATGCTGCCCATGTGACGGGGATCCGGGTGCTGCGGCCAGACCTGCTGCTCTCTGCCTCAGTGGACCAGCGCCTGACGCTGTGGAAGCTGTGCCCAGGAGAGCTGGTGCCCCTCAGCACCACCTTCTTCCACGTGCCTGACCTAGCCGAGCTGGACTGCTGGGAGGTGTTGGAGGCTGGGGGCGAGCTGCGGTACTACTGCGTGCTCTGTGGGCAGGGCCTGGAGATGCTGTGTGGCACAGCCTCCTCCAAACCTCCTCCACAAGAGGCTCCTCAGTAATGGGGCAGGTGTGTGACACATCCAGGTCCCTGCGTGCATTCAGAGGGCACCCTGCACTTGGGCTCTGCCCATCACTGTGGTCCCTGCCTTCAGCCTGCACACTCATGTGTCTTGTCCTGAGGGGCCAGGCATACTTGGCTCCTTTAGGCACATGCCGTGGTTGTGGTGCTCGAGGCCAATGGTCTCTGGGAAGAAGGCAGATGTGATCTCTCCTGGACGAGCCTAGGGCTTCCCCATGCAGTAAGGAAGTGGGGCTGTTAGTCCCCACTGCCCAAGAGCAGCTCTTCCTCTGCAAGGTGTGAAGGACCCATGTCAGCTTTCCAGTCTTGATCTCAGAGAGGAACCTTGCTTAGGAGGTACTGAGGACATGGCCCAGCCCAGGGAGCTTGAGGAGCAGCAGGACGCCAGGAAGGGTCAGGGACTGGTGTGACACATGGTGGGCTGCAGCCTTGTGTGTCCACGGACAGAGCCCCGCGTGACAGTCCTGGCCCTGCAGAGCTGAGGATAGTGCTGAAATGCACAGGGACACTGATCCTCCACAGCAGCACCCTTGTGGCTGCGCTGTCCACAAATAGCACCCCCCTCAGGCCAAGTGGGTTTTTCCTGCACAGCAGCAGGACCCAGGACAGTCGGACCAAAGAAAGGAAGGAAGGACAAACAACCCTGAGGTCAGACACATAGAGGGGTTGTCCAGCAACGAGTGTATTGGGCCCAACTACTGGGGCCTGGCTCAGAGCCCAACAGGAGCCAGGAGCCTCAGGAGCTCCCTGCCAGCACAGAGCACCTTTCAATAAAGTTTTGAGGGAGGTGAAGTTGGCATTTGTCTGTCTTTGTGGTGACTGGTCCCTGCTGCCACCTCCCAAGTACTCCCAGCCCAGCTTCTGGGGTGCCACAGGAACTCTTTTCCCTTCTACTGGTGTGGATGTGGAGGGGCATCCATGTCGCACACTGGACACAGCTGCAGAGAGCACAGACCAATCCCTAAACACCATGGGCAGGGAAGCGCCTCCACGGGGCTGAACTGTGCCTTGCCTGCCTGGAGCAGCCCCTTGCCCTGCCAGGAGACTGTGCCCTGTTCTCCCCCCACAACGTGTGGGGTGCGAGTGACTGCCACACCATGGTGCAGCTCTTCAGGGGTGGCTCAGATCTGGCTCAGAGGAGGGAGGTGCAGGGTTGCCAGGGCACTGTGAAACACATCCCTCACTGCTCCCAGCAGCTGGAGGCGAGCAAACATCTGGTCAAAGAGATGAGGGAATGGCTCCTGCAAAGAGAGAGGCAGCTTGGGACAGGGGGCCATCACACTCCTGGCACCATTCCCCACATGGCTGCCCCCCAAGAGCAGTGCAGCCCAAAAGGACTGCAGGGCCACAAGGCTGCAGGCAGGGACACCTAACTCACCCCAAGGATGTGCACTCGGTTGTAGTAGGAGCTGAAATCCATGCTGAGCTGGATCAGGAACTTGCACACCTACAAGGCAGAGACAGTCTCATGGCACAGTGAATTCTGGCTGGTCTTGGGCCCTCACCTACCCCAAGCACAGCAGGACTGCCCCAGGGGCACTGCCATCCATTCTCTCAGCATGTCCCTATGTTGCTCACTGATGGGCAGCATCTGCTGGCATGGAACTTTGCCCTGGGCTGGGACTGCTGGAGCAGCATCCATGGATGCTACAGCACCTGGCACTTACTGTCTCTGTGTTGGCAGTGATCCGGATCCCCTTGGAGGGTGCGGGCAGCTGTGCTGCCTGCTGCAGGACTTCAGGGAAGGGCAGGAGATAGTTGAAGAGCAGGAGCCATTCACCCTGTGAAGGGATTACATGTCTAAATGTCAGATCCTCCTGGGCCAGTAGCATCCATCACCAGAGCCGAGGGTGCAGAGATCCCCCCATTCCTCGTCTCAGCACTCACCTCTTCTCGGAGGCAGGAGAAGTTCAGTTCAGACACTGGTGGCAGAGGTGGGTATGTGCCTGGAAAGCAGGGAGACTGTTGTGCCCAAAGAAGCCCCTGTGGCTCCAGAAGAGGCTGTCAGAGGGTGGTGGGGCTGGTGCTCACCCCGCTCCACAGCCTGCTGGAAGGTGCTGAAGAGCGTGGCCAGTCGGGCACAGTTGTACATCACAAAGGCACCACTCTTCGTTCCCTTTGTGGAGATGCTGCTGTTCTCCAGGTCCAGGGTGATCTGAGGGCAGGGAGAAGTCACAGTCCAGGCTGCTCAGCACTCCACTCTTCCCACAACCTTCCAGTCCTGGCTCCATGCAAGCTGCTGTCCTACCTGACTCCGGTGAGCAGTGCTCAGCATCTCAAACCTGATGGCAGCCACTGTCAGGGTATCAATCACCTCTGTCCAGGCCTCATCTGTGCAGAAGACAGGTGCCATCAGGCACAGCTTGCTCCTTTCCCATGTACTGATACCCCCAGCACCCAGGCAGGACACCCCTGCCAGGACCAGGCAGTAGCTGAGGACCAGCACACCACCAGCCCTGGCTCCCATCGGAAGGAGTTGCTCTGTGCCAGTGCCCTGGATGTTTAGATGTCTTCCCAAAGCAAGGGCGACACCTGGCTCAATCCTGGAGGGGAGAAGGAGCACCCTGCAGGTGCAGCCCCCCTGGCTGTGGACTCATGGGAGCAATGAAGATGGGATGGAGCATGCATGGAGCCCCAGCTCTCACCTTGTGCAAGCTCCCCATACTTTATCACGGAGGCTTTGTACATCTGGTGCTTTCGGAGCCTGGGAGAAACACAGACAGAGCCAGCTGCTGTGGGCAGAGCTGGCCCACAGGGAGCCTCAGCAGCAGAGAAAGCAGCAGGTGCCTTGCACACCAACTTACTGGAAGTACTGGTCTGCCCCAATGGGTGATGAGGGGTTGGTCACCTTCACTGGCCCACAGACAAGATGTTTCTGGAAGACAGAGAGGCTGAGGCTGGGAACTGAGTGAAATCCAGCCCTGTTCTAAACCTAGTCATGAGCCAAGGATGGATGCTGGGGGCCACACTGAGAAGGGCCAGAGGTTGCTCCTGCTCACTTGCAAAGCTGTGTGGGCTCCCGGATCCAAAATCCTCCAGAGCACATCCAGCTGCTGCTGCTGGAATTCCTCCTCACAGTTCACCACATGCACGATGCTGCAGCAACTGCTCTGGCCTTTGGCCTGCAGCAGAGCACAACAGGGAGCTCAATCCTATAGCCTGGCAGAAGGAAAGGACACTTGGGAAGAGAGAGGCGGGCAGTGCTGTAGGGTCACTCACTGGGCACTGCAGAACAGCTTCCTGCAGCTCAGCCAAGCACTGCAGTGTCCTCTCTGTCACTGAAAGAAGGAGGGACACACAACAGGACATGGGGTTCTCCACCCCCCACCATAGAGTCTGCCCCAGGCTCAAACCAGACTGAAGGGGAGCAAGAGGGGCAAGCCATTCGTGTCCATCACCCCACCTTATTTCTGTTAAAAACAGCTGAAGGAAACAGGCCTACGTGCACCCATTCCACCCCCACCGCCACACCGGAGCTGCTGTACACGTGAGGCTCACCGAGAAGCACATCTAGATTGGGGTCGTAGCCCAACAAGCCCTGCTGCTCCACGAAGCTCTTCAGGTGCACCTTACAGATGCCACCCTGGGCTGTGCCTGGCCCCTGCTCACAGGCTGAGGCACAGGGGCACCGGCCCAGCGCTGCCTTCAGGGCCGAGATGGCCTCAGCGAGGGACGAGCCAGCGGAGCCGCAGGGCCAGCAGACGCGGAGCTGCCGCAGCACGTCCCAGCTGCTCTCCTCGCTGAGGGCAGGCACCGGGCGGACGTCGACCCTGCGAGAGAGGGCGAGGCAGGCGCTGGGAGCGGCGGGCCCTGCGGCGCGGGGCCGGGAGCAGGACGGGCCGCGGGCACTCACCCCTGTGCGCGCAGCAGCTGGGCCAGGTGCTCGGCCAGCAGGACGGAGCGGAGGTGGCGGGGCCGCAGGGCGCCGGGGCTGCGCAGGGCCGGGCAGTGCAGCACCACGCAGCCCGCCCGCGCCGCCGCCGCGGGGAGCGCCGGGCCGGGCAGAGGCCGCAGCAGGCGCTGGAAGGCCTCGGGGCGGTGCACCTGCACCGCCAGCCCCGCCGGCGTCTGCCGGCAGTCCCGCAGCGGCAGCACCGCCGGGCCCCGCAGCGACCGCACCGCCGACACGGCCTCGGGGGGCACCTGCGGGCGGAGGGCGAGGAGGGGTCCGGGCTGCACGTGCAGAGGCAGCCCCAGCCCCGCCGCCATCAAACAGCTCCCGCAAATCCCGCTCCCGACCCAGCCCTGCCCCCGCAGCGCGGCCTACCTGCCCGCCGGGAAAGGCGGCGCCCAGCGCGGCCCGCGGCGCCAGGAAATCCCGGTGGCGCAGGTTGCGGGCGCCGCTCTCCTTCATCCAGACCGCGGCGGGCCGCCCCAGGGCCCCGTTCAGCGCCCGCAGCGTCGCCGCCACCCCCGGCCGGCCCTCGCTCATCTCCTCGTCCATCGCGCGCTTCCGCCACCGCGACCGGAAGTGACGTCACGCACCCCCAGGCGCCGCCATGTTGCGTGTGTCGCTCCCGGGCGGCCATCTTGGTCACGGGCGCGAACGCCGGGCAGGGCGGCCATCTTGGGGGGACGGGCGCGGAGCCACCATGGTGGGTGTGGCGGGCAGCGGGCGCCGCCATGATGGGTGTGTCAGGTCAGGACCAAAGGACTGCGAGCAGGCACCCCGAATGGCCCGAGAGGGTCTCAGTCCCGCTCAGCCTCACCCCAGCGGGGCCATGGTGTCACCCTGAGGTGTGTAGGTACCCGCTCTTCTCCAAAACTGGGGAGCCCAGACCTAAAACCCTTAGGAACCGAGTGGGAGCAGGAGCCAGAGGCCGTGCCGGGCTCAGAGAGGCCTGGGCAGGAACGGGCTGCCCGGGGCAGGGAGTGCAGCGCAGCCATGGGCATGGCCCAGCCCAGAGCACAGCCTAGCGGTGCCTGGGCTGTCGGGGACAACAAGGGGCCCTGGGAGCAGGTCCAGCAGCCTGAACTGTGCTGGGAAGGGAGCTTGGGATGGGCTGGAGTGTGTGAGGCAGACCCGAGCTGTGGGCATGGTGTCACTGGCAGACCCCGGCTGGCCAGTCCAGCTGTCCGCCATGAGCCCCAGGGCCTGGCTGGGCTGTGACACGATGGCAGAGGAACACCAGCAGCACCCGTGTGCCTGCAGCATGGCCTCTGCGTGGCACCGAGATGAGCAGCTGTGGGTGCACACCCTGCGATGTTCTCTGGGCCTGCCCCAGTGGGCTGCTCTCCTGTCCAGCACATGAGCAGTGTCCCGCTTATCGGCCCCAGGAAGAAGGAAATGGAAGCGATTAGATCACGCCATCATGGTCTTGATTACATCTGCAGAGATGAGCTGCTCCACAGCGATGGTTGGAGCGCAGACCTGACAGAGAGCTCACACTGCTGGCCAGCTCCCTGACAAGTGTGCCAGGCTGCTGAACTGGGGACAGGGCAAGGGCTCAGCACACCCCCAGCCCCACGGCACCAAGCCTGAAAGACGGGGAGCAGGAAGCGCCAAACCCCACCACAGCTCAGAGCTAGGGACCTCCCTTTCTACCGTGCCCTTCCTGCCCTCCCGTTAAGGCAGGTGGGGGGGTGGGGAGAAAGGAAGGAGCTCTGCCCGCAGGGCCCAAACCGGTTCCTCCAGGGCTTGTGTGCATGGGGAAAAAGGGGGGGGAGCAGGGTGAGGGCAGATCCTGCTGCATGGGCTCTTCCAGGAATGCAACAATTGGCTTTGGGGCTCCTCGGGCAGCTCTGGAGCCCCAGGGCTGCAGCCCACAGCCAGTGAGAATCTGCAGCCCCGGGGCAGGAGTGAGAACATGTCCCCCAGCCGTGCCATGGTGGATGCTCCCTGCACCACCCACAGCCAAGAGGTGATCTGAGAATCGCTGCTCACGCCAGACCAACTGCTGACTGTCCGCAGGGCAGGAGCTGCCCAGGACCCCTGCCCGGCCAGGGGGACTTGCTGGACCTTGTGTCCACTCAAGGTGGGTCCAGGCTGGATCCATCCACATCCCCAGAGCGTCCCGCAGGCCGCCCACGTGGGCCCTGGCAGCGCAGTGGCCTGGGGAGGGCTCTCGGAGGCGCCGAAAGAGCTCTGGAAAGACACGACATCCCCGATGGCTCTCTGGCTGCTGGCTCAGCGGGAGTGATCGTGTCATTCCAAAGCCATCTCTCTCCAGGGGCTGGATCCTGCCCACCCTTGCAGGCACTGGGGTGCTGCAAGGGCCAGGAGAGCCGGCATGGGCAGGAAGTTTGGCAGTATCACATTGCCTGCGCCACCGTGGTGCAGGGGACCACATCCACCCTGCGGCCAAGCAGCCGTGCTCCCCGTACTCTCCCAGGAAGCCAGCTGCTATTTTTAGCTGTTAGCTGTTTTTTAGCACAAGAAATGGAAAAGCCCCCAGCCCGGTGCAGGGGCTGAGCCACGAGGCTGGGCACCGGCGATCCCCCGTTCTGACACCACCCGTTTCCAGAGCGGCCCCGGCAGGGGTTGCAGTGGGACACGCGGCTCTTGCCCAGCACAGGGGGGTGGGCAGGGGCGGGGGGCGTGTGGGGCGAGGCGGTGGCGGGAGCGCGGGTAACGAAACCCCAGGGCAGCTGGGCACAGCGGGGACAGCTGCTTTTGGGATTCCGTTGCCCGCGCTGGCGCCGCGGAGGGATGGGCACGGGCACCACAGCCACGCCACCCCGAGCGTGGGGCAGACGGTGGGCCAAGAGGGGAGAGGGCGACTTACCGGCGGGGAGCGGGGCGGAGATGAGTGGCAGCCGCTGCCGGGCCGTTGTGATCGGGGGTGCCGGCAGAGACCGGGCTGTGCTGCCGGCTCCCCCCGCGCCGCGGGCCGGGTGCCAAGGGGAGGGCGGCACGGCCGAGCCAAAAGGAAACGGCTCCGAACAAAGCCCCGGTGGGGCTGGAGCAACTGGTGCCAGCCCATCAGCCCCGACGGGGCCCGGAAACACGAGCCGTCCCCGAGGGAGGGCACCTGCCCCGGCACCTGCGCCTAGAGGCGGCACGGCCCCGCCGCTGCCAGCGCCTCCAGCCCCCGCCCCGGCGAGGAGCCCTCGGCGACGCCGCGGGGGAATTCAAACCGCGTGGGGAACCCCACCGGCCCCATGCGGAGCTCTCGCGGTGTTGCCCGGGGATCCCAAGGACCCTGCGCTGGCCAAGGCTGCCGGCTGTGGGAATTCCTGATGACTCCGGCTCGGCACGGTGGCGGGAAATGCTCCGGCGCCACTGCCAGGGAGCTTCCCGGTGGCCCCCGCAATGTCAGGCTACGGCTGGCCCCGGGGGGTGACACAGGTCGGGGACGTGGGTCCCTGTCCCAGGGCACCTCTGAGCCCGCAGTGTCACCGGCCTCACCGAGCGCGGCAGGAGGAAGGGGAGGGTGCAGGGAAGGTCCCGCCGGCGGCTCCGGGGGTTCAGCCCCGACTGGCAACAGCCGCCCGCAGTGGGGCACTCGGGGAACCGGGGCGCCGTGACCAGCCTGGGGCAGCCCTGCGGCACCAGCGGGGCCGGGCCAGGAGCGCAGCCGAGACCCGGGCCCGCTCCCTCCCGCCCGGGGAGCCGCCCGCTCCCCTCTCACCTCCGGCCCCGCAGCCTTCGGCACAGCAGCCCGGGCCGGTCCGCAGCCCCTCCCGGCGGCGGGGCCGGGGCGGCGGGGCCGGGGAGGCTCCAGCGGGACACCCCGCACCCCGCTCCCGCCGTGCGGCTCCCGCCCCGCCACCGGCCGCTTTCGGTTTCGCTCCGGCGCCCACCTGGGCTCTGCAGGTCGGGGCGCGCCCGGGCCCGGAGGCAGCGGGTGTGTGAGTGTCGCTGCCCTCCCGTCCCTCAGGACCCCGGGCGGGGGGACCCGAGGGCTCCCCGGGAGCCCCGCTCCGATCCCGCTCCCCCGGTGGCGCTGTGCCGACCCCGGCCGCCGGGGGGCGGTAGCGGCGGGGGCGGGGCCGCCCGGCGGTTCCGGCGGTGTCGCGGCCATGGCGGCGCTGCGGCGGCTCGTGCCGGCGGTGGGGCGGGCGGCGGGCAGGTACCGGCACCGGCAACCGGCACCGCGGCTGCTCTGCGACCGGGGGAGGTGCCTGTAGGATGCAGTAGGGTGTCCGGGAGGTGTCCGTGGGTCCCCCGTGTCCCAGCTGCTCACTCTCCCCGCAGAGCGCCGTTCCGGAGCCACCGGCTCACTCCGGCGGATGATGAGATGTACCAGCGGACGCGGGTGATGATGCTGGAGCCGGAGTCCCCCAACATCATGTTCATCGAGGGCTACAGCACCCGCGGCTTCACCATCAGCGGAGACCTGGTGGTGGGGCCCTGCGCCGTCCTGCCCCGCAGCATCCTCCAGTGGAACGTGAGTGCCGGCCGGGGCTGCCGGTCGCCACCGCGCGCCGGGGGCCGCTCCCCTCAGCGCCCGCCGTGTCCCCGCAGGTTGGCTCCCACCGGGACATCTCGCTCGAGAGTCTGTCGCTGTTCCGGCTGCTGGAGCCCCAGATAGGTACGCGGGGCAGGAGGGCCGCGGGCGGCCCCCCCTTCGGGCTGCGGTCGGGGTGGCTGTGCGGGAGCCATTGGTGCCTGCAGGAAGGGCCGCTCTGGCCGAGGCCGCTCGGATGCTGCCGTGCCCAGCCTTGTCTTGCCCTGCTTGCAGAGATCCTGGTGCTGGGCACAGGGGACAGAGTGGAGCGGCTCCACCCTACCACGATGAAGCAGATGCGGGAGTGCGGGATTGCTGTGGAGGTGCAGGACACGGTAAGGGCGAGCACAGGCAGCACCCCACTGAGAGGGAGGGAGGGAGGGGGTCATGTGCCATGTGGGGAAGGGCCAAGTCTCCTGTCTGAAGGCCGGAGCTTCACTCACTCCCTTTTCTATTCACAGGCCAATGCATGTGCAACCTTCAACTTCCTAATGAATGAAAGGCGTGTGGTGGCTGCTGGGCTCATCCCCCCGCGGGGCACCTACGGGGTGTAGGCGCTGCTGCCATGCCCATGGCCTGGGCGGTTCTTCCCCTGCCTGTCTGAAGCCCCGGAGCGTCACTGCTCCCGACTGAGAAACCGTGAACTGTGGAGCTGTCAGCTCAGCCCTCTGCACACAGGAGGCTGTGAAATACACGGGCTTAGCTCTTCCCTGCAGTGCCTGGCTTCTTGGCCTCCCTGCCCAGTCTGGGCTGGAGACTGTGGGGCACAGCACAAGGCTTTGCTGGCGGCACTGCTCCCACAGCCCTGCCAAGGTCATGCCCCACAACTTGGCAGCAAGAAGCCTCATCTGAGGGAGGGTGAGGGCTGGTGGGGTGAGCTGTACATCCCCAGGCACATCTGGAGCTCCACGAGGAAAATATAAGTAAATGGGAAGTACCAGAAATTGTGTGGTGGTTAATGCACAACGCATTGAGGCTGTAACAAATGGAGGGGGCATGTGGCTCACCTTGGGCACTGGGCAGCATGCGTGGTGGTGGGATGCCATGTGCCAGCACCTTCCCAAGCACAGCCAGCAGCAGCAGCTAGTGTGTCCCAGCTGGTGCTGGCCTGGCTTGGGCTCTTTGGTGGAGCTTTGTACCACCCCAGCACAGATGTCCCTTGGGCAGTGTTGGTCCAAGGATGCTGCATCCCCTTTCACTGAAGGCTCAAGCTCCAGCAGGGGACTTGGAAAGGGTCCCTGTCCTGACCAGGATGGTTCATAGTTGGGGATGTCACCCCTGGGGAAGAGAGTACATGTATCTAATGGCAGCCTCATGCCCTGAACTCTGCCACCTTGGCAAGCAAAGGCAGGGGACACAGCTGCAAGGTTAGGGTGGCTTTGCTTAGCAAGTGTCTTAATGAGTGTGTGACACCGACACCGTGGCACTGTAGTCCAGGCTCTGGTTTTAGTGTATAAATCAAATTTGACATCCCCACACCACTGATGGTAAACACACTTTTCAGCAGGAGTGATGTGTGGGACATAACTGAAACAGGGGTAAAATACTTTTTTGGCTCCTGGCACTGCAAGCACGGGTAAACCTGCCAAGCCAGGGAAGGTTGCACTGCTCAGGCCTGCAGAAGTGCAGACCAGCTCCTTTAGAACTTTGAGCCCCTCCCAGTGCACTGCCCACCTTCCAGCAAACAACTGCTCTGTTGGAGCCTGGGCAGGTAATCCACAGTGAGCAGCCCAAGGGGGTGCAGCCACTGGGCCTGGAAGTGTGGCAACTACAAGAGGTTTAGGGGAAGAACACAGCAGCTGGATCAGGAACGGGGGCCTGCAGCATCCTGGCTGCTGCCACAGCTGGGTTGGGCAGCTCCCAGCAGGAGAAAATGGCAATGTAAAACCGTTTTGTTTCTTACCCAGCAGTCCAGCCCTTGTTTTCTGCTCTCAGGAAGGGTTTTTAAAGAAGCCACACTGTGTTACCCACTCAGCCCTGTTTGAGGGCTCTCCTCTCCCTGTTGCCCTTCAGATGCACAGAGTCCCTTCTTCCCATCTGGGGTTATCAGCTGCCTCTGACAGTGTGGAAACAAGGGACAGAGCCAAGGATGGAGCCAGGGAGGTAAAGAAGGGAAAGGGGCTCCGAGCTGACACCAACTGCACATATTTTCATTTTTTTATTGTAAAACATGGCCAACACGTGCAAGGCTCCAGCCCAGGATCACAGCTCCTGGGTGGAAGGCAGGCCCCGTGGGTGGTCAGGAAGCAGCCAAGGGACAGCAGGAGCTCCAGGCAGCCCAGAGTAATGGCACTTCTGCAGCAAGAGCAGCTCCCGCGCGGAGCAGCGCAGGGCTGGGTGGCACAGGGACAGACAGATCTCCTTCAGAAGAGGCGCTTCTCATACCTGCGAGGGAGCAGCACCAGGGAGCCCCTTACTGACCCACCTCACTCAGGGCAGGGACAAAGGTGCACTACAGAATGGATCCTGCCAGCCCAGGGAGGGGAACAGCCTCAGCTCCCTGACAGAACGCGGCTTGGCGCGGCTGTGGTGCCAGGGCAAGCCAATGAATGGCACACCAAGCCAAAGGCACGGCAGCTGAGGTACAGGGTGGCTGTTCCTCACCCCCAACACCCCCCAGGGTGACAAGCATCCTGCCAAGAAGCACTTACGAGTGGAGGCCGTGCACCCCTCCTTCAACCTGGGCAGATGTTGTCCTCTTCTCAAATTTCAGCTCTCCCGAGTACATCATGGCTCTGAGGGGGAAGGACACCTGTCACAAGCCAGGCAGAGCCTAGGAGGACAATGCTCTGGCACATGATCAGCTGGAACATCTGGGATGAGGGTCACTGGTTCCTCCAGCTGTGGCCACAATGGTCTTTGCTGTGCTCCCAAGAACCAGACTGGGAAATGTAATTCAAACATTTTGAGCCCAGCCAGCTGAATATGCCACACCTGCATCCCTGGGGCTGGCAGATCCATCATGCACTCCCCACTGGAGATGAGGGAAGAGAGCTACAAATTATCCAGAACACACAACAGCTTGAGTACAGCTGCACAAGACTCCAGACAGCAGCACCGTGACCTAACCAGAGCACAGGCATAGGGAAGCACTCACCGGACTTGGGTCAGGCTCTTGGCACCGATATCCTGGCAGGAATGCTGGATCCCAGCAATTAGGTATGGAATGAATTTATGGATAGAGCCCTTGTCTTGCACTGCACCGGAGACCCCCTGGGCCACTTTAATTTTGTCTGTCTCACTGCACGAAAGCACAAATCAAGGGTATTTGTGAAGCAGAGAAACCCCAAAAGCTTGATCTGCTGCCCCAAAGCACCATCTCTGACCTGAAATACCGATTCTGGCTGCCCAGGTTCTTGTCCATGGCATCTAGGGAGCCCATGCCGCGGTATTTCTTCAGCCTGATGCCATCCGAGAAGAAGTACTCGCCTGGGGCCTCCGTGGTGGCAGCCAGGAGAGAGCCCATCATCACTGGCACAAGATATCACCGGGAACAGCACATCAGCAGCAGCGGCAGCGGCTGCAAAATCCCTCAGGGGTCCTGGGCACAGCACTGGCTGCAGCCCCCGTGCCCCCAGCAGGTAAACGTCCCCATGCCCAGCGTGATGCCGTACGGAAACGCTTCCTAGGAGATCCCCTAGAGCGGCGCTCACCTGTGGAGGCCCCAAGCGCCAGGGCCTTGGCGATGTGCCCAACCGTCTGGATGCCTCCGTCGGCGATGACGGGGACGCCGAACCTCCTGGCGTACTCGGACACCTTGTACACCGCCGTGGCCTGGGGACGGCCGCACGCCAGCACTGCGGGGACAGCACAGCCGCTCAGCCCCGGCCGGCGGCACTCCCCTCCCAGCACACGCATGCTCCGGCACTCAGAACGCACAAATCCCCGGGTGCTCCTTCCCTAGGCTGAATCCAAGAGAAGCGGGTGCCCGGGAGATGCCTGCTGAGACCTCCTCACAGCCCTTGGCTCCAAAAAGCTGTGAGGGACCACAGGACTTTGATTGGATGCCTGGGATCAGACGAGACTCGTGGCTCGATCCTTGTGCACAGCAGACACGTGGGGAGCTTGGGAAGGAAATAAAGCAAACTCCAAAAGCCCCTCTCCAAAAGCATCCCTGGCATGTAGCCATGTCCCACTGCTGGCTCTCTCCTGGAGCTGCCAGACCCCTTGTCCATGTACCCAGCATCTGTACCATGTGCCTCTTGAAAGGAAAGGCAGCTGGCTGGGAGAGAGCTCACACGCCTGTACATGCTATAGATATAAATATATCTATACATACAGGCCTGCATATACACACAAACACACATGCAGCAGTGGAAAAGGAAAGAGGCAGAATGGTTTGGTAATAATTTATGTTCCTGCCCTGCAACGTAGCAAGGGTTCCACCAAGTTTAGCTGCCCAAGAGGAGAGTTATCAGCTTTGGATTTACTTGTTCTTCCCAGTCAGTAGCAGTTAAGAAGCTTCCCGCTATGTGAGGAAAACCAGCACAAGGCATGTCTTGTAACATGTTTGTCAGCCACAGGCATGCAAGAACACAGATAAGCTCCTCTCAGGGAGACGTCCCTTCCCCACCATCAGCTGGAAGCCTTTTCTTCAGTCATGGTTAGTCCCATAAACTGGGTAAGATTAAGGCCATACAGTATTAGTACTTTGGAGTGTGAAATCCAGGTGTGGATTGCCTGCACAGTGGCAGTGCTGGCAGCACGTCCCTGGCAGAGGCCTGCTGGGGCAAGGAGGCTACAGTTTCTCTACTCCCAGCACTCAGCAGCAGCTGCTGAGGGAGGGCAGCCAGACTCCAGGCTGAGATTGTGACAGAACTAAATTTAATCAGACCCCAGCATTCAGCTCAGGCTCAGCCAGCCAGGGAGAGGCTGCCAGCTTTATCATCAATGCCCTTAAAGAGATGGTCTTGCAGTTCTGCACTGCTGAAGGCCACAGTGCAGCTGCAAAATGCTGCCGTGGAAGAGCTCTGTGGAGAGAAACCCCCATTTCTGAAGGGTTTTGAGGGTCTATGGGAGTGTGCCATAGACAGTGCAGGGCCTGCAGAAACCTCTCAAGCACAACCACAGAGACCAGCCCTTTTAAGGCACAGCTTGGCTCAGGGCCCCTGGGAGCATCGTGCCTCTCCCAGTGCCCAGTGCCACGGCCCCGGAGCGCAGGCTTCCCAAGCAGGGTCTGAGCACACACACACATCACACGGTCAGGGTAAGGGTTTGTCCCTTTCAGGGTATTGGCAAAGGGTGGCCCTACAAAATCATCTGCTAGAGAAAACCTTCCAGGATCTGCAAGAGTAAACCTCTCCCTTTGAGGTGTGTCAGAACTAGGAGAAAGGACAAAGCCTAAGGCTTGCCTTGCAGGGGCTGCCTGGTCAGAGCATCAGAGCAGAGAACACTGCACCCTGTGCTGGGCAGGCAGAAGCCCCTTCTCTCCACAGGACTTGGTGGGGAAAAGATGGAACGCAGCAGCCAAGGTGGCCACGTGCAGTGAAGTCCCTCTGTAACTCAGGGGAGCCAGCTCCATGGGAAGGGAGCACAACTTGCCCAGAACTAGGGCTACATTTTGAACATGATCGAGAACTGCTCAGGGATCACCTCCCAGTACTGGATCAGCAGGAGCATGCCTGGCCAGGGATCCAAAAGGTGCAGTCAGGCTCCTAACTGGAATTTGGAGTGGAGAGAGGACAGGCCTGAGTTCCCTCAGCTTGGACAGTTCAGATTCTGCTTTACAAAATCAGAAAGGCTTCTCAGATTTCATTTCAGATTCAAAACCAGTATCCAAAGCCACAAAACCCCAAGTGCATCTACAGCTAAATTATTCTCAAACAAGCAGAAGGGCCATATGCAGCCAAATCAGGGTCCTGCTTCAAGACACATAATTAGGGTTGGGAACAGGGCAAATGACTTACTATAGGTGCCCGTGACAGTAGAAGGGCATTTGGGGCTG